TTGGCCGTCGCTTGGGCTGAATTGGGTGATTCTTGGCGGGGACACGTGTGCGTTTTTGAGGCTGCCACACATGTTGCTTTGCCAGAGAAAAGCGCTTTCTCGAACGTCTGAATCCGACTTCTGTCATGCTTCCGTTTTGACGAGGCGACCTCCGCCCGTCCCCGCCTTCTTTCGGAATCCTGGTAGAGCTGGTGCATGCGATCCGGCTCATCTTTCTCGTGCTCGGGCTTCGCCTTTCTCTCAAAATTCGACCCTCGAATAGGCTTTGCTGTGGCTTGCCTTTAAAGCCATGTTGGGCTTTGTTTGGTCTCCTTTTCAATTCCCGTCTCCCTTTCGGATTCCCTGTTTGGTTTTCCAAAGAGGCCCCTTCCAGCAACAAAAACACCTACATGTTGCCCGTGCGCCGGCTGCCACAACCCTTCCAAGCGCAGGTCGGGACGTTTCCGCTCTTCGCAACGGCTGAAGCAAGTCAATCTCAAACAGGGGACCCACATACACGGATAACATGAATACGCACCCAAACCTATTGCATAGCTGCTGACCTGAGGCACACTGCTGTCTGTTGCAAAGGTTGGCAAAGCGTATGTGAGCACCCAGATCATGGCTGCTTCTGGCGCACCGGGTTTTCGAGGGCACACAACCTAGAAACAACTGAGCACAACGAAGCCAGATAGTAGAACCGCCTGCTATGGAGGGGTTGGAGCTGATCAACTGCAGAATTTTGTCTTGAAGCATGTGTTGCAGCAAGTTGCGCGCACCTGCTGGCACCAACGTCGCTGTTTGCATCCTCCCTGTGTTTTCCCAAGAACTGTGCAGGAGCGTTGCCTTGTGCGCCGCAACTATTCCGCTCTTGGCCTCTGCCCGGAACCGCAAAGAGTCGCAAGTGAGGATTTACCGTTGGGAAGTAAATGGCACCATCCCCCCATGTAGGTTTCGTCATCCCCTTTACTTTCCCACTTAGGTGTTCGAATCCGTGTCCACCAAAATGAAGACCAAACAGGTCTCGAAACCAGTTGGAGGGAATTGCTTTATCTCGTAACAAGTATTCATCATCCCCATAGGGATGGTCTCTAGCCAACCTCCCTAGCATGAAGGACTAGGACTGCAGGCGGAGAACCCCACGGATTGCTTTTTTCATTTTTGCAAGGCCCTCTTGGTGCCCCGACGCAGAGCTCCCTTAGCCGGGAGGGACATTCAGAGAAAACTGCAAAGCTGGCACAGTCCTCGTGGGTGTGTTTTTTGGTGTTTTTTGGCATACTCTTTTTGGGATGTTAAACCGAAACCAAAAGGGCAATCACCATTTTACGGGTCCCCCTATTTTGACACACGTCCTCATAGAAATCCAAAAACATGTTTTTGAGAACGGGTCACGATTCTTTGTGTGTCTTCCCCTGAGAAAAAAAAAGAGTCAAAATGCCAACGTGGTGCTCTGTTAGGTCCTGCCCATCGCCCGAGGAGCTTCAACGAAACCGTTCGGGGTTCTTCGGTCAGGATCGTCCAGGCACCGATTAGCAAATAACTATGAGTGGAAGCGGAGGTTGTCCAATACTGAAAACAACAAAATGTCACCCTAAACCAAGTTGCTGGCTTCCTTTGTGCTTAGGCACTTCAATCATAAAAAAAAGGCGGGCTGCCGAGAACCCTATACATTTCCAAACGGAGATTGGTTGGTTGCCTACGTAACTTGGTTGCAGATGATCGGAGAAGAATGCTGATTTCCCTCTTGCGTTTTGAGGAAGGACAGTTTGACAGTTTGCACCTGAAGGAGTCAGCCAATGACTCGAGAAGGGATGCGTGACCTTGGCAGCCAGGTGGGCGAATCTGCAACGGTTCATTGGTCGCGTGTCTTCGCGGCAACTGCTCATTGTTCTCGTCAAGCAAAGTGCACCAAAACAGGAGCTGCCATAAAGCAAGCCCTAACTCCAAGTTTTCCGCCACGGATCCAACCCAGCAATATGCCTCTGGAGTCCTGCGCAATGGCTCAGGGTCTATTTCGCCCACCCTGCTTAAAACGGTTTGCAGGTGTGTTGACTGGGAAGTAAGTTGGGGTGCATAATGGAACCCAGAATACATAAGCCCACGGTCATAAAGGGCACTTTTGGGGCAAACGACCACCCATATTCGACAGGTCTCTAAATCCGGGGTCCACATTGACCGCTTGGCTAATGTCGATCGACCCTGGATGAACTAATCTGGTGGACCAGGCTGGTCGAGACTGGAGTTGATGGGACCCAGCCCCACAAAAAAACCTAAATACATGGCAAGTGGTTCGGTTCCTACCTGGTTTCACAAATTTGTGTAACAATCTTGGCAGAAGCAAAAGTCAATGGGTGTTGGGCGCTGCTCATTTGGCCTGTGCTTCTTCTTCCCTTTGCATGCTGGGAACCCAGGATTCGTGAGCCCCCCCTGTCACCCCTGTCCGCTTGAAAAGGGACTTCATCCACCAGGGCCCGGACCGCGCGCGGTCTGACAAACTCGCGGCGCCGCAGCACTCGGCTTCGGCCAAGCGCCTGGCCCTCGCCTATCGCGACACTCGACTCGCCGCTTCAGGCCTTGGGGGCTCCGAAGTCTCCAAAGAAAATGTCCACGGAGGTGAAAGGGCGGGGCTTCGAATCCCTCGGAGCACTTAGAACATCTTACTTCAGGTTCCAAACAGCTGAAGTGTTTTTCGTCCCTTCCCCAACATTCAGTAAGAGCTGTGGAACTTCAATGTCTACGTGACGTGGTCAAACTTTGTGGAGCCAGCGTGGTGTTAGCAGAAACCCGGCGACTCTCCCTGAGCCATGGCTCACATGGTCGCATGGTTGGGGACAAAAGCCCTGGTGTTTTTGGGCTTGAAGTGGGATCCCATCCCGACGCATGAATGAGGGAACTCGAGTCCTTGGCTCTCAGGAAATGGGAACCTACACAGGTGTTCCACCTTTGACCATCTAGGTGGCTCTACGGTGGATGCTCCAATGCAAGTAAACCAGGCAGGGTGGAATTTGCAGGGTGTCCCTTGTTCCCCGCTTGCAATAAGTCAAGGGCGCATGGGGCTTCGGATCCATGGGGCTTCTGCCATAGCTGCGCATCGCCCGCCTCCTGCGCGGCCCTGCGCCGCTCCTGGCGCACTCCGCCCAACGCGAACTGAACTGAAAGATTGCGGCATGCTACGTTTTGGGGATTGAACATTTCTGAACAACCCGCAAAAGGGTACCTTCACGAAGAACACGCGCTGGATTCATACACCCAAATAAGGGTTCCTGGGGGTAAGCGAGGTAGCTTGGAGAAGGGCGAGCTCGCCATGAGTTCTGCGAGCATCTGTGACTGGAATTGGAGCTGGCCAAATGTGTTGCAAAGGCTGTTGATGGCCATCTCATCAGTTCAAGAGTCAGTATGTGCCACAGACTTGGTCCCGCTTGCAAGTACGCCGCTTACGTCACAAGTTGACCTGCAAAGTATATATAATAGTTGTTCAACCACGGAGTGGGTAGTTTTTGTTCTGAATTTGGATACCCCTCAAATCCCCTCACCAAAAAAGACCCTCTGCTTAGGCCCCCGCCAATTCCCAATCCACTTTTCAGTTGCCGAGCTCTAAGCGGAAAGCTGCGACTGCCGACTCCCGGCCCGCAGCGAGCCTTGCGCTGCGCCTCGTGCGCAAGAGACAAGCGTCGACCCTACGGGTTGGGGCCAATGGGGTGTGAGGGGATGAGATGTTAGATGTTTGGACATAGGTAACGGGACAATGCAGCCATGCAAGTCGGAAATGCTCGCGACCTAGCCACCTACAGGTCTGCAGGTCCTTCCTTCCTCGCTTTCTTTCTTTCTTGAGCATCAGCAAGAAAGAGTAAACACTCAAGCAAACGATTCAGCTCCTATGGCTCGCATGACTCGACTCGGCAAACCCATCGGACATACCCTTGGCATCCTACCAGCAAATCCCGTCCCCCGCTCGCTGCCTCGGGGAGATGAGTCTGCCTCGACATGTGAGGCAGGGTTGCGTCTGCCAGCGTTTGCCAGCTGAACATGTCCACTCCCAGCTATGCACATTTTAGCGCTCAACCACTGTCACCCACCGAGGACAGCCCCGGTTCCTAGCGTCCATGGACCGCCTCGCCGGTCTGCTATGCGCCTCACAAACACCCGAAACGGATGCGCGCCTGGGTTTGTCGGTGGGCGCGGCACGTGGGCCCAGCTCGCGCTCTTCCATCTGGCGGAGTTGACAAATTCGGAGCCAAATTCGACTCTCGGTGGCACAAAACGGAAGAGCAGGGTCCAACAATGCCGGCGCGATTTTGGGCAACCTACAAGAGTACGAAAGATTAGCCGACTGCCGATGATTAGAGTGATTTGGCACCTGGAATGAGCCCTCAGGCTGCAGAAGTGTCACCTTGAAAGACTCAGAGATGCATCCGGGTTGAAGAATGCAGGGGATCCTTGCCAGCTTCACTGCATATATATGGAGCGAATTGGCAGCATTGATCGGTGCTGAAACGGACGCATCCACAGGCCCTGCTTAAACCATCACTCTTAACCTCATGGGCAGTTCCCAAAAAGCTCAGACTGAGCCATACTGGTTGCCGGTGTCTGACAGGGCTTCACTCGCCCATGGCTCATAGATGCATATAGATGCCAAACGGAAAGTCCAAACATGAGGGGTTCAACAACGTGGACCTGCCAGACTGGTAGGTGCCAAAAATGGAAATGGTTCTGAATTTGATTTGGGACGCTTTTGGACAACATCAACTGCGGATCTATGTCCACCACCCATGTTTGATCATTTTCGTGGGGGTTATGTGTGTTACCCAACCATTCTTGAACATATTTATGTCCATCCGCCATGAAAAACATGCCCAGCTTGAGCTGGCCTCCTTCTTTCCACGCTCCTCGAGCTCACGACGCTTCTCGCTCAGCTCTTTGGACCTGAATAAACAAAACACAAACAAGCGAGGCGGGGGGGTCTTGTTTTTTTGTTTTTTTTGCGCGTGATTCCAGATATCCACTCAGAAACGATTCCCGATTGCCACGTGGCTTAAGCCTGGTGTTGCAGTACTCTCAGCCTAGCAAAGAAAAGGTACTGACTGCTTGCTGTATTGTGGAAATTGCATTATTCGTTTCCTCAGGAAACCAAACAGTGGCTATTTACATAGTTGGTCCTCTTCAACCTCCTCAATATGACATATTGAGGAGGTTGAAGAGGACCAAATATGTAAATAGGCACTGTTTGGTTTCCTGAGGTCTTGCGTCGGAATAGGTCCTGTGGGACTTGTTGAGGGCTTTTGCACGTGGCCAGTGGGACCCCCCATTGCCAACCTAGGGGAATGGGCGCAGCTCAGAAAGTCACCCGGGCTACATGCCAAAACTGGCTCAGGACGAAACACTCAAGTTGCAAAAGCAGAGGGTGTTTGGGTACCTCTATTTCGATTCATACCCAAGTCAATCACGCACACGTCAACCTTACGTGCAATATTTAGGAGTCAAACATGTGAGTCACATGTGAGTTCTTAGTCAGCCTTAGGATCTGGTAGCATTCCCATTTGGATTCGTCAACAAACATCCTCGCAAAAACAAGACCCACGTATCACGGAAGATGGATCACCAAATAACTGTGCTGACGCTAATGACACAAACCACTAGCTCCGTCCTTGCTTGCCATCCTGTTGATTCCCTGTAAGTGAATGAGTCGAGCCCCAGCAGAGTCCAGACTGCCCTGCGCAGGTTTCTAGATAGTGTCCCAGAAAACAGTTGGCGATACAAGGTTCCTAAGGATCATGACGATGGAGACATGAACACCGGTCCAGAACCAACCCATGTATCTAAAAATCAGGGGTCTTTCAAGCATGGGAAGAAAATCGCCCATCATTCAACAACTGTGTTTAAAATACCATTGTTGGTGTTGTTCAAAGTGAAAGACCCAAAGGCTGGGCCCATGCTCCGAAGGGCATATTTTGAAACAAACACCTTCAGCTTCCTCAAGCCAGGTCGATTACAGTGCCCTCCTCAAAATTGACTTTCCACATGATGTTTTTAAATGGAAAACACCACAAACAAAAAGTCATTGTGGGATACCGGAAAAAATCCTTTACAGCACCCCAAAAAATAATTATTCAGATGGGAATCACATGAAAAACCAAGTTTGCGAACCCCTCAAAGTGTGTGCTGCGGTCTCTGGGCGCTCGGCTCTTCGTGGAGCCGGCTCCAAATCGCTGTGGGCTTGGGCGACAGCATCCCTCCGGGCCTTTCGAACAAAGCGAGAGGCAGGGTCCAAAAAAGGGTCCAATGGAATCGGAAATGGCGAACCCGAGTTTCGATGCTGTTTGTTCCGAAACCTGAAACCTTGCAATGATGTCTCCTTTGAAACCCAAAGTCGAAACCAAAGTTGAACTCGAAGAGAAAAAACAAACAAAAAACGTCCAGCCCGACCCAAAGCCCCCGGCGGGGTGCGGCACATTTCCGCCTGGCGAGCGAGAACGTCACGCGTCGACCTCTAAAAGGACCGGCTCCCCTGAGATATCAAGGGTGTCAAATTTGGCAACCCCAAAAAATGGCATCGGTTTCCTTCTAGCTTCCCTTTCAAGCAACCCTGAAAAGGATACCCTCAAAAAAGGAAGGTACCCGAATGCCAAGTGGCGGGAACACAAATGCAGAAACTGCCGATGTCACATACAAAAAAGATGTCCTCCTTTGTCTAAAACAGAGAAAGCAGGTTTTTGGGTAGCAAGCTGCCCACGCTTCTTGCGGATGAATTCGCAGGGCCCATCTCCCTGTGAGATTCTCTGAAACAGAAGCCTTCCAAGGAGCCATGTCAAACCAGTCCCCAAATCACTGCTCACAGCCTCTAGTGACTCTAGTGCTTACACACCTTGGTGTGTGTGTGTGTGTGTGCGCTATTGAGGGTACCCTTTACCCTTTATGGACTGTTTCAAAAGGGAAACAAAACAAAAAAGTCATTTTAGGGGGTCCGAATCCCTGCTTTGACGAGCCAACCCCACCGCGTTTCGGGGGGTCGGTTGCGGTTCCATAGGTCCTGCCTGCGCGATCCGCGACTCACGCAGTTCTTTGATCCTCGCGAGTTGAGGGAAGCCTTAAAAGATGTCGGTTCTGGGGCGACGTTAGGGGAAATAGGGGCTAGGACCCTTCGTGGACATCATTCAGGTGTGTGCGATTCGCCAGCTTGACCATTCGCGGGGGCTGCTTCGCAACAAACGAACTCCGGGCCCCCCGGGCCCCACTTGACGACTCTCTTGCACTTGACAACAAACAAATTGCTGGCCCTCACCATTGTTGTTTCTACGGGTGCCAGCCCCTGAAGACTCGTGCATCGTTTTCCAGAGCATCCGGCGCTAATCCCTGCCTTTCATGTACCGACAACCATGAAAGCGGCTTCATCGCAAACGTGAAGACATACAGTCCGGTCATCCTTAGTCATCCTTCACCCCAGGTACAGTTCCACCGCGCGGCCCTCCATTTCGGCTCCTCGGCTTGCGCTCGCCGCCCGTGCCCAGCGTGCCAGGCGCGCCCGCGGGAGGAGTTCGCACGCCGCCTTCCCGTGGAAAGTGTAGCGCTTTAACACTCCATTTCCGTAACCAACGCCCAGAGACCCATGCGAGGTGCGGCCCTGGTGTGTGTACGGGTGCGTATCTTTGTGTCTGTGTGTCTGTGTGTCGTTGTGTCTGTGTGTCTCTCTCTCTCTGTGTCTGTGTGTTGTCTCTGTGCGTGTGTGTCGGGTGTCTGTGTAGTGTGCGTGTGATTTGTGTGCTTTCCGCGTCCGTGTGTGTGTGTGTGTGTGTGTGTGTGCGTGTGTGTGTGTGAGCTGTATGTGTCTGGCGGCGTTTGTGTGTGTGTGGGGGGCGTGTGTTGGCGTGTGTTGGCGTGTGTTGGCGTGTGTTGGCGTGTGTTGGCGTGTGTTGGCGTGTGTTGGCGTGTGTTGGCGTGTGTTGGTGTTGGCGTGTGTTGGCGTGTGTGTTGGCGTGTGTGTTGGCGTGTGTGTTGGCGTGTGCGTTGGCGTGTGTGTGCTGGCGTGTGTGTTGGCGTGTGT